ATCATAGTTTTCTGCGTTCCGTTCACCTCTCTACATGTCCCACTATGTTTATCCATCGTTCCTGTAAGTTGAACCCATTGAGGCAACTAAGGCAGTAGAATCTCTTATGTTGAGTCTTATTTAGACTACTGAGTAACATGCTAATATCCCTCACAAGGACATAGTGGGTATTTCCCTCATTGTCCTCCATCAGCAGCAACTCCATATAATCCTTATAGTCAAACTTTGTTGTATACCTTGGAAAGAACATCTTCTCTCCCTTCAACATAATCACGGTAGTTCTGATCTCATTTGCCTTCTCAATCTTTGGAATGTCATCTATCCTCACAGGAAACCCAATACCGTTGTAGTTGAGTGTCTTGGCAAACTCTCTATCGGAACTAGTAATCTCAGTTGCCCTCTTATCCTTTGGCTTCAAATGTCTTACATGACACCATCTAAAGCACTCATCATCATCAGTGTTCACAATGTTAATTAGCCCATTCTTATTAGACTTCAGAGGAGCAGGTAACTCAATAAATGAACTGCCGACCAATGGATTGAAGTGAACAACGTCAACTTCATGTTTCTCAACCAAGATCACCCTCCAATTGCTACCACGATCCTGGTAAGATTCAATCTTAGCTATAATTCTCGCAGCACTAAGTCTAACCGCATCTTCAACTTCACTTTCATTCATAACGGTTATAGTCTCACTTTCCATTGGAAGATCAACAGCAGCATTCTTACTAAGAAGACCCTTTACCATTTTCAACACAAGAGTCTCAACAAACTTTACTGGTCGGTCAAGAACAGATTTGAGTATGTCACCAACAATCTTACGACTAACATCGAGTTGTCCACCGAAGTCAGGTCTACTTATTCCCAATGTGAACTTCTCAATTGTCCCCTCATCACTTTCACCAGTCTTTTCATAGTTTATAGTCTTATGCAATGTTGGAGTAGTTGTTTCACCTATGATCTCAATTCCTTCCTCACCAACTCTCATTGCCGCAATATTTCTCTTTAGCTTCCTGTTATCATTTCTAAGCACACCAAGACTCTTCTTATTAGATTCACCTTCCTTCTTAAGCTTTCTGTTATCCTTCTCAAGAGCCTTCAGCTTCTTCTCACTAACTTCACCCTTCTTTTTCAACTCCGCTATCTCCTTATCACGAGCCTCATCTTTTGCCATCATAGCAGCCGTCTGAGCTTGCATCTTAGTTATCATCTCAGCGTAAGCCTTCATTGTATCAGCAGGATTTTCCATCTTCTTCTCTATATAATATGTGTCAGAATTTTTTGACTTATTTTCTACTGTATTTATTGACGTATTTTTTGTCATACTTTTTGCCAATTTGTTTTCCATTTTTACTCTATACTATACGTGATGTTTAACGTAATTATCCTATTTTCACAGACGGCCTCCACAATACCTATTTTACCTGTCAGGGAGACCCCACACTATCAATTTCGGTCTTTACAGAGCAGTTATTTAGTTTTCTGTTTAAATCAAGGTTTTCGAGCTCAGTTCGCTTCTCCAGCTTTCTAATTAACCATTCTCTGTAGTATTTACAATCACGCGGTTCCCAACCAAGAATAGGATAAACCCGACCAAATAGAATATCTTCATTTTGTAAAATTACCTCTTTACTCTTACAGTCAGTAATAGTTGTATCAATACCAAGTCTGCTGCAGGTTCTCAATACGACGCTCTTTAGCTGAGGCATTCTAACTCCACCAAGTTCATCTACAACATTTCTAATTTTTATAAGGCAGTCCAACAGTGTATGGTAGTCTTCCCCACTGTGATGCTTTTCCAGCAGTTTCTTAAACTCGAATTTCTTCCAACCATCCATTTATATTATACCATAGGTTTAACTATCTTCCTCTCCCACACATTATAAATTTATCATTCATCCCATTACCTTCGCGATACCAGAACTCCTCCCAACGATCATTCCAATCTATCCATTCAGGTCCAATACAAACATTTCCCAAATCCCGCGCTCTTTGCCTAAGATCTCTATACCACTCATGGAAATATTTGCAGTTGCTCACATTGAGATCAATAGTAGGAACAATTATTCCGTAAAATAGGAATTCATGCTTAGCCTTAATATTAGATGGATACAGATCCCGTAATTGTTCATTTGGCTCAATTCCAAGCGCACTACAAACTCTTACAAGATGGAATCTCATACTAGGACAATACTTAAGATTTTCACTGTTCAGTAACTTTCTAATCTTAACAATTACATTAACAACTATATCTACCTCAGACTTTTCCACATACTTAATTACACATCTTTTTACCTCTGAAGGATAAACAGATCTTATCTTACCAGTGGATACCTCATACTTCCCTGCCTCAATATTATAAGTCCTTCCTGCAATACTGATACTATTCTTAAGGAACACATATTTATTATCACAACAGTAACTCTTGAAATACATTTCTCTATCTATACTATACATGATGTTTAAACTTATTCCTACAGGTGGAGCTCCAAAGGTGAACGACCTGTTCACCCCTTGGAGGGGTCAGCTATGAAGCTGGGATGTCATTTATAAGGGTGGACTAGACTCTACCCTTTCACACTTATTATACCGGAGGTATTTTTTATTCCCAGCAGGAGAAGCATGAATTATTATTAACACCGCCGGAACTCGCAAGCAAACCGCATAAGTTTCACATTCAAACCGCAAGATTTGGGGGAGTTTTACAGCTATTTATTTACAACATCGCAGGATCACATAAGTTTATACAAGCGAACCGCAGAACATCTACTTACAATACTAAAAGGTCACACAGCTCTCCTAAGCAAACCGCAACTATTTCTTACAAGCAAACCTAAGACATCTCACCAGCCTATTAAATATTTCCAATATCATGTTACACCAGACCATGCAATCTAACAAGTCATAGTAGATAGACTATATGGACAAACAATACTCTATAATCTATAAGGCCTATATGTTGTGTGATCGATGGATAAATATATAGAAATCTTAAATAAACATTCACTAACATGAGAATCGTCGAAAACTAACAATGCGGACGATGAATATTAATATAATTTAGCTTCTTGAGCGCAGAATTATGTTAATACAGCATAGCGAATATTAAAATATGTCAGGCAATCAACTATTCAAATTGGTGCCCGGGTTATATACTTTGAAAATTATAAAATATACATCTCTATAAAACCATAAATTTCTCTACCTTAATGAAGTGCAAGCTTTGTCTTTCTTCTCTCGAACATACTTCGTGATATAGCTGTCTGCACCGAAATTTCTAGCGACGCTTCTGCTTGTGTTCTTGATGGCGCTCAGTGGCTCGTCAACAGAAATATTCGCCCGTGAAGCATCGATTGCCACCGTGGCCAGGCATGTTTTTCAAGCCTGCCCAGTGCGGATATACACTCAGAGTAACATCACAAGCATCATATTCACCGAGTATATAACACCACCACGGAAAACAATTATGGGCAGTAATTTATTCAAAATCTTAGCGCTTATTGCCTGGTCATATAGAGATGCATGTTTCTGAAAACTCGTGGCTGCTGTATTAAGTGAATTAGTATAAATTCATGTAGATAACTATTGTATCACCTTAAGCACCCAAGACAGAATAAAATAATAAGACAAATCAGTACGTAACCACGGTATCAAGTTAATCATTACTCCGTTCTGGGAAAAAATATAACTGTCACCTGTGTGTCTTGCAGAAACACTTTTGCCTGTCTATTAACAGCATATTCCTTAACGATATGATGGTGTGTAAAGAACTAATTGTATTACGTTTTTATTTGAATTTATCTTAATATTTCCGGTTACAATAATTTAATAGCTTATTTTATGTTTTCGTATGAAGTTGAGGCATTAATGAAGTTGAGGAATAGGATTTGTGCACGGTGAAGTGAAGTTCAACATCCATGTCACTGTTCAATGGCGCGTAATCTTGCAGCAAGTCATTGCTAGCTGTCAGAAAGTTCAAAAACGTGTTCCGAATTTGGGAGGGAAAAACATTGAATTTCGTCCCAAAAGACTCAATTAGAAAAACATACGAAATAATATATTGATATAATAATAAAAATATCTGAACCAGTTAGGTTTCCGTATGGAATATAACTCTGCTCTTAATTCAAAGATACATTTAATCGATGCTCACGGATGGGCATATCCTGCTAATTACGACTCCGGTTTTGCCGGTGTGGAATGTTTGAACATATCTATCGTGCAATAGGTATCTTGAGATAACCTTCATCATTTTTATCAGTAGTTAACATGAAGCAATCTGATTGGCTGAGGAACTTTTTCATCGGGCACGCTCTGAAATGCAACTGCCGCCTTTGGTTTTCGCGCCAAAGACCCAGGAGTGAAACAATTTTTAAACTAAGTTATCTGCTCAAAAAGTTTGATCAACGAATTCGGCCACTAAAAAGCGAAAAAAATACAGCTTAATTAAACAGGTATTGCAAAAAAATGTTTTCCAATTTCAAAGAAGGTTTAACTATACAGTGTACACAAGTCACCAATATATTCTCTACTCATTTGTGTCATACATTTTTCACTGATATAAATATTGTAAACAAAATAAAAGTTTGGGCTTAAAAACACTTTTATGCAAAAATAGCATACCTTTTACATTGTTCTTTTATAAAATACGTTGACTAAATGAAAACAGAATCATTTTTATGTGTTTTTAATTGGGTCTAAACATGAACCTGCATGTCGTTGTCAGAAGCAACAGAATTTGCCAAAGCCAAAACGCCAGGCTTAAGGTGGCTCCCTAGGTTTTTTTCTAATTTAATACACTATAGTATTCAGGAGACTCCTGTTTCTTTACTTTACATGACATCGGAAAACGAAATTTATTGGACACATTGACAATGTTCTCTTGAACATTGCAAATTGCTACTTTTGTGTTAAAAATAAGTTGTCATGGTAACAGCATGCTTAAAACAAAGCTCAAAATTTGTCTATTTCAGGTCATTTTAAAAATTCATTTCGGTGAAATTTTTTAAAACTTTGCATAAAAGATAATACTTGTATAATGATTTTTCCCCTCAATATAAAAAAATTAAATCGATACGTTTCTTTGAAAATTAAAGAAACGCCAAAAATCAATATTAAAAATTTTCTCTTCGATTTAATTTTAAGAAAAAAGGTGTCGGAAACTGTCGTAATTTAGAATTAGTATTTATGTTCACGCGTGGGACGCTCGAGTCCAAACTTTAAACACTTCGGAAAGTTCCAGATTATACCGGTGGTTGTTGTTTTTTCCTGAAGAGAACTTAAAAGGCTGTCTCTCTAAGAACCGACCAATGACTCTCGGCTCATAAAATGAAATTCTTCGTCACTTTCACAATGACATGTATTTACCCCAAGAAAAAACAAACACTATTTGGAATTTTGAAATTTTATTAATTTTTAAAATTTCAGCGACTTTTCGGTCCCGCGCCGTTGGGCAGAAAATCCTCTGTCTAAATCAGGAATAAAAATTAGCCGAATTCAAATACATATAATTTTAAAAGTATTCAACCAAATGTTATGATTTTTTGACCCACCAACGTTTTATGATACTTTTATGATACGCCTTGTTTTATGATACTTTTACAGAAAGATTATGGCAAACTTTAGCGATAACAAGCACCGGGTGCAAATACGGCTTTGTACGCATATCAAATTCGACTTTAAATTTCTCAAAAGTGGCACCTAACTGGATTCAGTGACTAATATGGTTAAAAAAGGGAAGTTTGAAGTACCCATATCCACAATAAAACTTGTTACTGACCGCGATTTGAAGACTCGACAGCCTCTGAAATTTGATAAAATTGGCTATTTTGTTTAGCTTCAATTATAGCGGAGTTGAGACGTCAGAGCTTCCAGTCACTTGTAAAATTCGCTGTTGTTCCGTATTTTTTCACAAGCCTTTAAATGATCGTAGTTATGCGATATTTCTGTGTTCATGAACATCACAAGTGGATTTAATTCAAAAAGATTTCGATCGATGCAGCGAGGTAAACGTGGTACGCTTTTGTATTAAAATTAGCTACGCGGGGAAAACCCGGAAATTATTGTCAAATTGTCAATGCTGATATTTATTAATCTAAACCCTTATTCTGTGATCTAAACTCTGTATGTCTATTCTGCACGATTGGAAATGAATTTAAGCTGGAAAAAAGACTTGATCTAGAAGACTACTATAGATACTGATTATTTAAAAAGATCCAGTTGCAATCGTGCATGCCAATTGAATTGGATTTGGATTATAGTTCGAATAAGGGTTTTGGTTAGTGTTTCAACCAGGGCTTGGCTGAAATTTAATAGAAGAGTCATATATGGAATAGTCTCCAAATGACCCCAACTCTATCCTGAGCCCTACCCTACACCCACCCCACCTCTATTGTGATGTCATTTGAGGACCTTTATATCAACTTCACCTGGAATTGTTTAAGGAGAGCTAATAAAGGGTGAAGTTTATTTTCATACAAGATTTTTCAAAGGACGTCACAAAAACGCGAGGTTAGGGTAGGGTCGTACTGGGGGTGTGGGTAGGCCAAGGCATGTGGGGATTCTTATATGAAACGTCGACCAGAATAATGGTAGAAACTGTTCACGATGTATTCAAAAAGGGGAATGTTAATTAATCCGTAAATTACCCCAATAAAGTATAGTATCATGTGAAGATATAGTGGGGAATCGAAATTGTCAAATATATACTAATGGAATTGCTGTGCATTACACGGAAGAGAAGCTATAGAAACAAGACAATACGCCATGGTTCTGGTTTTCTGCTAATAAATAGCAGTAATTGTAGCACGATTAGACTGTTTATGACGGGAGTGCCAAAATTAGCAATGACTCTATTTTACCTCGCTTACCTCGCTGTAACGTTTACCTCGCTGCATCGAGCCAAATCTTTTCGAATTAAAACAACTTCTGATGTTCATGTACACGGAAAAATCGCTTAACGGCTTGTGTGAAAAAAAAACCCGGAACGACGGCGCATTTTACAAATGACTGGAAGCTCTGGCGTCTCAACTCCGCGATCATTGAAGGTAACAAATTTCAGAGGCTGTGGGAGTCTTCAAATCGCGGTTGGTAACAAGTTTTATTGTGGATATTGGTACTTCAAACTTCCCTTTTTTCAACCATATTAGTCACTGAATCCAGTTAGGAGCCACTTTTGAGAAATTTAAAGTCGAATTTGATATGTGTACAAAGCCGTATTTGGACTTTGTGCTTGTTTAATATCGCTAAAGTTTGCCATAATAGTTTTGTAAAAGCATCATAAAACCAGGTAAGTTTCAAAGTAGAATAACTTTCACGTGCGTGGGCGAAAAAATCATAAAAGACATTGTGAAAGTAACGAAGACTTTCATTTTTCGAGCCGAGAGCCATTGGTCGGTTCTTAGAGAGATAACCTCTTAAATTCATTCCAAATCGTGCAGAATAGACATACAGAGTTTAGATTAAAGGAGCAGTGTCACCGTTTGCGCATCTTTGCTGCGCATAAACAAAACATTTCGGAAATGGCCGGAACCATTCGGCGCAAGTACCTTTCACGATCAAAGGAGCGAAGCTTGTGTGAAAAATCAAAATGGTGAGTAAAAATTTGCATTTATTTGCATACAATACATAGATGGAAAATGTTGAATTGATCATTCCCACATTTGCATAGGAAAGGCACTGTGATTGTAAAAGTTCTTGCAGTGTAAAAAGGAAAGAGAATGGAACTCGAGGTTGTCGTTGCAAAGGGCGAAATGTCGAATGTTCGGATAAATGCCGGTGTGGTACTCGCGATAAACCTTGCAAGAATATAGTAAGTATGTCAATATATTAATTTAAACATTAAAATTATAAATCGAAAGCATGAATTTAACAATTGCTTTTATGATTTTCGTCTAGGCAATGACAGAAAACATGGGAAGGGAGAGAGACAACAGGAGTGAAAAAGCTACGGATACTCGTGCAAAACAAGGCAAAGAAAAAGGCTTTCGTCTTAGTTCTAAACCAACCGAGTCAGAGGAGACACAGAGGGAAAAGGAGCACAAAGATGTCAAGGTATAGCGCATACTTGAATTTGTTGAATACGTTTTAAATGAAGCCCTTTTTGCATGTTTGGTAAACTTTGCTTACGTTTTTGGCAGGCAAAAACTACCTAGAATGTATTGTATTGTATTCTTACTCTGCTAATGCAGCATTGCTCTCGTTCATGCTTATTTGACTACCAAAAAAAGTAAACAAGGTTAACTTATAGGGTCTGTAATAGAGATTTTTCAATATATTGAAATACTGTATACAGATACAGTTTACAGTAAGGTACTGTACATACAGGTACTTGGTTATAGTGCATTTGAAAGGATTTATAGTTTCACTTTGGGTTCACAAGTAAAAGTAAATTTATTCTCATTGTTGAACTTATGAACATGAATTTAACCTATTCTTGGTTTTCAACTATTCCCAGAAGAGACAATTGAACAAAAGACATGACAGCCATGCTGGTCGTCTTGATAAAAGAAACCACAGTCACTGGTGGACATTTTGTCCATTTGTCTCTCCTGTGAATAGTTGAAAGCCAAGAATATATTATTTTATATAGGCTACAAATACATTTGTACAATTTTAGGATTTTATTGCAACCTTAGATGAGGCCATGGTAAAAAAACTAGCTATAAGAAACTTGCGAAGAGGGATCGGTAGTATGGACTACATAGAAACATTGCTCATAATGGAGGATGATCTTGATGAGGATGAAAATTTTGGTGAGTTTGGTCAAGCATCAACTCAGCAACCAACTGGTTCAGCATTGGCAGACAGTGAAACAAAGAACAAAGGTCCTGTTCCTTCCGACACACATAGTGACATAGCCCAGATCAGATAGATGATTCAGCATCAGGTTCTGTTCCAGATTGGTGTGTTTGTGGCAGATGTCACCCCATGACACAAGATGTCGAGAATAAATGTTGCAAACTTAAAAAATGCATAACGCTTTCTTCCCGATTCGCGAAATTGTGTCTGGATCCTGATGTGATAGAGTTGTGCATAAGAAACACAGGGGATATAAGAAGCGATAGAGAAGACAACAGCAGTAGGGCTTTTCGAAAAGCAGCCTATAGGCAATTTATTCTTGCACGCCATGGGCATCTTGGTAAAGGAAACAGACGAGTCTGCCCTTCATGTGTAGTAATGAAAATAAGGGAACGGTGGCCAGCCATTACTGGAGTTTACATGGGTTATAGGGAAAACTAAGTACAGTAAACTATGTACCTTAACATAATGTGTTGCATTGACATTGCATACAGGGCTGAAGGAAGATGGTAAAAATAAGGCAGGCTCAACAGAGATTTTTATTTTCCACTCTTTCCAGGGGTTAGATTTACCTAGATTGATCTGTATTATGCAAACTCAAAACATGTGCAACTGTGCATTCATTTCGAGATTCACTTAGAAATTAGAATTTTCAGGGGGCCCTGCCCCCCATGGTTCCTACGGCCATGATTGCATCATTTGCTGTTACAGTGTATATTAAATCTATTGACTCAGTGGCACTCTGCTGAAATGCACCAACTTATAAATCCAAACTTTTGAACCCAATTCTTCTGAGTGCATATAACAAGTTAGTGCATTGGTACGGTACAATGTACATAATGGTTAATATTTAGTTCATATTTAGAGCTGTGATTATTTATTTAAATTTGCACTGATAACAAAAAAATAGATAATTAATTGTGTACATTAAATATTAGAAGCACAGCAAATTGCCTTAAATTTTAGAAGCACAGCAAATTGCCTCAAAATATTTACATTAATTAGTCACTGCATTTTGAAATGGCAGCAATCACTGACATCAATCTTCAATTTTTATTGTTTTGCAAATCTGCTTCTTCTTGTAATGATTTCTTTAGTGGTTGGTTGTGGAACATGTGCAATAGTTGGCGATATAAGGGCCGGGTCGCTCTTGTTCAGATCAACGACTGTTGTAACAAAATCTGTGTCCATAGCTCTTCTCCTCATCATGTGGGAAATAAGCACTGGGATGTATGCATATCCTTTTTCTTGCTTCACCTTCTTAATATCCCACTGCCGGGTTCTCTGGTTGTATTTTCGGGTGACAACGTTATTACCAGACTTGGATGTTTTCTGTGGGAGGTCAACATGGAAATTCCAATCAATAGCAGCGAGTTGCCGTCTTGCTTTGTAAGTTTGATAACTAAAATTAAATTAATCAGTCATTATTAATGCCCAATGGGGGGCTACGAAAAAGTTTTAAGGTGTAAAAGGGGGGCACAAACATATTTTCAGCATGAATGGGGGGGGGGTGGCTATGAAATATATATTCTCACTAGAGAGGGGGGCGGGGTGTCATAAAAAATTTAAAATATTTCTTAAAAAAATAAGGGGTTGTAATATTTTTTTTTGTATTTTGAAAATTTGTGTTGGTGTTTTATACTCAGGTGAATATGATATATTGATGTTGACTGGGCACAGCAGATCGCAGGTTCAATTCTCACCATGGCCAGGTTTTCAGCCTGCTTGGCATGGACACTTGGAGTACCATCAATGTGTCATATTCATACTT